CAAGAATATGCAAAATGATCCTAGAAATGGTCTAGGGGCCTGAAAGGTTCCATGTTTTCAGACCTGCACCTCAGCCATCACAATGCCACAATGGAGGCCCTTGGATGGAGGCCTGTGGATGGAGGCCCTTGGAATGGAAGCCCTTGGATGGAGGCCTGTCTCAGCTACTGGTTGACAGGAGCAGAACAAAGGAATGTTCCAGCAACCCACATCTGGGACCAGTGATCTGAAGCTCCAAACTTGTGTGAAGAGTGACAGGAAGCTAACAGTGAGCAGTTAGAGGAGGGCGACCTCAGGTTCCGTGGCTTGTGGCTGGGCCGTGGTGCCGGCACACGTGGACTCTCCACCCTGTCGAAGCCTCTGGCACTATGCCCACAGGGAAGGGATGGTAGACCTATCAGGGGCACAGTGTAAGGTAAAGCATGAACACTGCACTGGTGAGACAACTCAGCTCAGAGATACTTAGGTTAGAATGGTTAGACTTATTTCTGTAGAGCCATTGGCACGAGACTAATGTGTGTATTTACAAGGGCAGTGATTAAAACCAAGAGGAATAAAAACACCAGCAGCGTCCTGGAGACCCAAGCTCTCCACCTCAGCAAGAGCAAAGCTGGGGAAATTGGCTATTGAGAAAATACAAGACGCTGAGCTTGTAACAAGCCAGAGGTGAGGGCGATTGCTTGCTGTGGAGCACATGTGAATCTTCCTTCACGTCTTCCCACTCAACCACAACGCTTGGTAAAACACAGATAACCCCAATTTGGCAGTGCCTCCCAGGGCAGCCAGCTCTGGGCACTGCCAAGCAGTACCAACATGACCAGCAAGTAAAAGGCTTCTCCTGACTCGGCCTGTCTACGAATCTGCTTCCTTACTTCCCAACCAGGCCTTCCACACTCACCCGGAGATTATCAATGTGGCTGGCACACCCATTCCACACTCACAGTGATTATCGACATGGCCGGCACACCTTCCACTTTCTGTATGAAGTTCCAATGTCTCATTTTATTGCTGAAGTCTTCTTCATGACTCCATCTGAACTCTATGTGTATCTTACACTTGAACACTGTGTTGTATTCTCAAACAAGCACAGATAAGATTTGCCAGGATGTGCACTGGTTCTGTTATCTTCATGAAAATCTTGCATTTGCCTTCATTCTGATTCTGTATACACTAAACATAGGAACCTGAAGTATTTGTAGATCACGAGGAAGGAAATGTTGAATTCTTCTGTGCTTGCATGAAAATGAAGGTGCATTAATTTGTATTGTCCTGTTGTTCTTGTCTCTGAGTTTTAATCCGGCTACTTGGGTCCTGGACATTATAAATACATAGAAGTAAAGGAACATTTAAGCTGGCATATGGAGCTTTCTAAGCCTTGGGACTCTTTTTTTTTTTTTTTTTGCCGGTCATGAGGCCTGAACTCTGGGTCTGGGCGCTGTCCCTCAGCTCTTCAGCTCAAGGCTAGCGCTCTACCACTGGAGCCACAGTGCCACTTCCGGCTTTTTCTGTTTATGTGGTGCTGAGGAATCGAACCCAGGGCCTCATGCTTGCAAGGCATGCACTCTACCGCTGAGCTACCTTCCCAGCCCGCCTTGGGACTCTTTTAATGCCTTGTTAGATCCTCACAGGATGTAGGCATCCATTGTACAAAGCACCTGTAACCGTAGTAATATTGTGATATACAGGAACGTTACATTGTTCCATGGATGCCCCAAATTGAGAACAATATTTATCATTTTACTTCCTACAAAGGCATGCATTCATGCATTCACTCATAAAAACACTAAACCCCTTATTCTAGTTCAACAATTCAAGTAAACTCATCTTTCAACATTGATTGTCCACCAAACTTGGGCTCAGATGTTAAGACATTGCTTAAAGATAGTCTCCAATATGCTGGAGAGAGAACGAAATGATGACATTATGTAAGCTCCAACTCTCTCAACCCTGCAAGTGAGAACAGGTAGAATTCTGTTTCTTGTCCCAAATGAAAAAAAGCCACTGGAGAGTGCCACCCTGAGTGCCGTGGACTCTCTCCGGAGCAGCTTCCAGCTTGGGACAAGGGCATTGCTGTCTGCACACCTGCTGACCCCACACTTGGTCCTCTGAATCCATCCTGGGTAAAAAGTGAACGCGATGCGTGTCCTGGAACATCCCACAAATGCCCCCACACCAAGAGGAAAGAAAAAGAAGAAAAGGCAGAATAGCCCAGCACGGGCGGGAAATTTAAGGCAAATACTCTAAGTGTTAAAAGGATACCATGGGCTCTGAGGCAGCCAGGGATCCCTGCTCGGCTCCCTTCAGGAAGGAGCTCAGAGGTGGGTCCCCTCCCCAAAGGAGGGAGGGAGGAGGGGAGGAAGGGAGGGCTGGGGGGGTGGGTGCTGCTCCTACAACCCCAGCAAGGTCACAGCCCACCCCACGCTGCGCCCTGTCCCTACCCGTGCCTCTCCCGGTCTGGGGAGCCTTTCAGGCCTCCTCTCCACTTGCAGACAAGGAGAGGGCAGTGGCCAGATGAATTCCCACCTATTCCATCCATAACGCGTGTACTTTTTTCCACGCCACGGCAGGTGTTGTATGGGGTGCATGGGCAAGGAGCTAGGATGTTTTCATTCTACTCTTGTTTATTTACGGTAAGTTTTTGTACTGGCTGTCCCAAAGGCAAGATATCAAAAAAGGTAACCAACTGTAATTGTGTCTATGTTTCTCTCTCCTTGGATCATTATATTGATAGTAAGCCCATGTGTGTAACTCTACCAGTCCCTACATTTCTTACGCAACAGCAAACCGAATCGTGTCCTCTGACCCTGTCAGCCCGATTTAACAGAAATTAAAGGGAAAAAATACGATGGAAGTCCCTCCTCGCTCCGATTTTCATAGTGTTATTTTAAATGCACTTTTCCACCATTTTCCATGCCAGCTTGGTGTGCTGATGGAGAGGCCTCAGCAGTCCTGCAGCCGGCCCTGGCCCAGGAAGCTGTGCATCGCTGGATAGAGACCAAGGAGCAGAGCCCGGCCTGGCTGGCTGCTGCTGCGAGGGAGATAAACTGGCAATGGGCACTGAGCCCTCTCCCCAGTGAGGGGAGGGAGGTGTACCCCGGGGGGCCAGGGCGGTTCTCTCCCCGCATGGTGGCAGTGAGCACCGCCCTCCGACCCTGGTGACCTGCCAGGGACCGGTTCTGGGGTTGCTGGTGGCCCTGCCTCCCAGAAATCCACAGCCTGGGAGCTTAACAAGCACTGAAACTCAAGAGAAATGAAGCGATCGCCCTAGCATATCAATTTTAGAGAGGAAGCTGGCTATTATCTAACCTTCAGACTTTCCCAGTGGGATGTGTGTGTGTGTGTGTGTGTGTGTGTGTGTGTACAGCCACAGAGAAAACACCATAACATAAATGTATAATTCACATAGACACAGACGTGTGCAGAGACGTATGACATCGCTTGAGTGACCGTCCTGCGGAGACCGCTGTGCAGGCCAGAGCTGCTTTCTCCCCTTTAGCCCCAGATGGTCCTTGGCCCCCAGTAGAAAAGTCAAGGAAACCTGCAGCAGGAGGAAGCTGAGGCTGCCCTGGCGGTGATCAGGAAGGGAAGGAGGCTGGGGACCAGGTACAACACCAGGCTGACCTGCCCAGGCTTCTAGCACCTGCCACAATGGCCCAGCCAGCATGAAAGAATCAGCATGTGAACTGGGACATTTTGAACTCTGCCCAGCAGGCATCCCAGCCACCACCCCTGGGACTGCCCTGCCTGGCTGGTCTTCCCAAGGCCACTGACACCTCAGGCCCAGCCCAATTCTTCCCCCTTCTATGCTGCTTTGCCCAGGGACACAGCCCTGATGCCACAGTTGCGTTTTCTGAATTCCCCTCTGGAGTGGCGGCTCTGAGAATCGCTTCTACTTGTGTGGTCTGTCACTTCAACACGAAGCCAGAACCAAGAAAACGCATGTCATCTGTAGATTGGGTGACAGATTTTATGGGTGTTGATTGACCGAACCTTGGATGGTGTTTTTCCAAATTTTTGTCCATTTATTTATTTATTTCACAATATGTCCTCTTGGAAACCATTCCATTTGCTGGGTTTGAGGCGTTGGGAATGGATAGCCAGAGGTCTCTATGGTGCCTAGGGTTACACATTCATCTCATGAGTGCTCAGAGACTGACTTGCATTTTCATACGTGTGCACAAACATACAAAGGCATATATATCCTCTTATTTAATATGGTTAAATAAAAGAATTTGTGGGAAGACCTTTAGAAATCCGGCAAAGGAATACAGTCTGGATACCGTGGTAATGGTGCTACACTCTACCAATCTAGCTTAGGCTAGAGGTCCTGCCCAGGTGCTACCATAGGCCTGTGGCCTGGAAGGTTTCCAGTCTCTCAGCCAAACCCTCACCTGCCCGAGCGCCGAGAGAAAGGCCCGCTTCAGCTTCTTATTTCCCCAGATCAGGATGTACGAGTGGCTCGAAGGGTACAAGAGTCCCACCATATGGAAAAGCGGTTTGGTCCACATATTCTGGGGTATACTGGAAGTCCAGCTGGAGGCGATGATGGTCAGAGAATTCAGGGTAAACAGCAGGAGGAAGGAGACCATCATTTGCAAGGCCTTCACGTGGACGGCGACGCTGGCGTCTCTGGAGCATTCCACGTGAAGCCGCATCCTCCGGAGGTGTCTGCACAGAGAGTAGATGAGCAGCAGAATGCAAACCAGCGATGTGAAGAAGGGAATGAGGTTCAGGAGAGAGAACAAGGCCGCAGTGGAGCGGTCGATAGCACCCCTCAGCTCCATCTTCCAAGTTGCATTTCCTTCACAGTCACGCACCTGCATTATCCAACCCATGTGCAGCATCACAATATTAGGAAACAAAAACACCAAAGTCCCGCAAACCACAAGGACAACGATGCTTTGTACTCTTCTCTTTAGATGGAGAAAAGTCAGGTTGGAAAAACTGGCTATCTTGAGAAAATAAAATATGATCAGTGCCGTACCATTCCAGCTGCTAAAATGGTTGGTTGTGACGTAGGCGATGGCAAGAGCAAGTCTGCTCTTACCCCTGGGAAAAGCTGGATTGAACACAGTGAATTGCCCAGAGAGCATTATTACCCAAAGCAAGCCAAGCCGGGAGACAGCCAAAGCCGTGAGGATTCCATCCGCAGAGGAGACCCTCCGTCTCTTGACCCAGTCAATGGCATTCACCAGAACTATGAAGACATTGGGAAAATTCCCAAGAACAAATTCCACCAATGCTATGCCAGATACGATCTGTAAGAAACTTGTCATGTCTGCACACACGGGACAAAAAGACACAATATCTCTGGCTGCGGTTCTCTCTGCCCTGACTTTGGGCTCTACTTGCCTTGGACGAAGTTCTCTCGTGGTGATATTTGGGACAGCCTCGGACCCATTGCCCTGCGCAAGTGAGTGAGCTCAATGATGTCTTCGTGGAGAACAGTCTTCTGAAAGCAATTGAGACCACCCACAGGTGCTCTCCTTAGCCGGTGCTGAACTGAGCTCTGGGCTCTCAGTTTCCAGCATGCAAATAAAGGTAGGTTCTGTTTCACAGTTTGCAACTTGCCCTTGTTTAACCTCCATGGTTTGTGTTCATTGGGATTAGTGGTTTGGAATTAAAACATTTTAGAGCTCAGTACAGTATGCAAGCCATTTAACAAAGCTCGGGGCTCATTTCACGCCAGATGTAGGAATACAGGAACTCAAATTTTTCTTATCAGCATCTAAGTTTTTCTCAGGAATCCCAGCAAGGCCAAAACCTCTTAGGAATCTGGAAACGGGTAACAAAAGTGGTACCTATGATCTAACGAGATTCTTCAGTAAGTCTGCATGCAGGCACACACATACACACGTATGCACACCTGAGCACACACATGCATCCACCACAGATAGAGAAAAATGAGTGCTCCATATTCTCTACATTCAAACATGTCTTTCAGGGACATAGATATTTTTTTCAATAGCCCCTTTTGTCAGTTTCTGGCGTTTTAGTCCATCCTTAATAGTTTCCTAACACGTGTCTTGTTCTTGGACCTTTCACATGGTTGCTCCCAGGTGTAATTAGTACTTAAATATTGACAATTTAATTAACATAGTGAGTAATGTTCTATTTCCTGGCCACTTCACAAACGATGTGTAGATGTGCAGACCTGGGTCAGGCCTACAAGCCCCATGACACAGAGGCTGAGACCCGGAGGCCCCCATGCTGTTGGGGTTTTTTTCCTTCGGTATTTTTTGAGTGTTTTTATTATCTTTAAGGAGCTGTACAAAGGTGTTGCCGGTCACCCGAGCCGCTCGTAAACACAGTGCATCCCGATCTGTGTCTCTGGTCAGCATTCTCTTGAAGACTCTTGCCATTTAACAAAACAGTTTGCATGCACAGTGCATCTTGGTCTGTGTACCCCATCGATGTGTTCACCGCTTGGACTTGCCCTTCCCATGTCCTCTCAGTTCTGAGGGCAGCCAGTGCCTGCCTGCCTGCATCCCTTCTTCCCCTCGTTCTTGTGCTCTTCTCTTTGGGGCCCCACCCTCATTCCTGGTGCTCATTTCATTGGGCTTTGACTTAGCCTTTCTAAAGAACTACACTATGTGTGCTCTCCAGAGTCTATTATGCTTCAATCTGAAGCTCCAATCTGAAGCCTGCCTGAGCAAAAAAGCCCATGAGAGTCTGTCTCCAATTTAACAGAAAAAATAAAAATCAGGACTGGAAGCATGGGCCAAGTGGTAGAGATCCAGACATGAGTGGAAAAAGCCAAGTGATAGTACAAAGCCCCGAATTCAAGATCTGGTACCAGCACAAAGCAAATAGTTTCCCTTGTCCTCACCCATTCATCTTTGGTTATTAAATTTTAAAAATTAAATAGATGTTAAAATAAGCCTCAAATCGTATTTCTTTTGTGGCTAAAGATTCTGAACATTCTTCATGCGTTTATTAGCCATTTGCATGTATTTTTCTGAGAGTTAGAAAAAAAGAAAAGAAAGAAGAAAGGAGGGAGGGAGAGAGGAAGGAAGAAAGGCAGGAGGGAAGAAAGGAAGACATGGAGCGGCTGCAGGATGGAGGTCTGAATTCAGAACTACAGGTGCAGCAAGGGGACTTTAGAGGACTTACATTCAAACTATGAAACTCACATTTGTCTTTTCAACGGGACACTGTGGCGGTTGCAAGGAGAGCTGACCAGGTCTGGGACAGAGGACAAGGTTGTTCCCGGGCCTCTTGGGGGCTGTGAAGTCCACCAAGACAGAAGAAATACTTGCTGAAGCGGGGCTTGGAACAGAGATTAGGTCAGGGATCGTATTCTGAAAACACAGTCAACTGCATTTGGTATTTTTTTAAAAGCAATTCAGAGTTCAACAACACTTTTAAAGCTCTAGTGGCCCGGGGAAAGCAGCATCTGGAGTCCCGGGGGTTAGGGAGTATGCCGGCTTCCTCTGTCCACACCCCTCCCACAGCTACGATAAACCCCGGCCACCAAAGCCCCAGAACGTGACTGTGTTGGGAGGAGAGATGTGCAAGGATGTGACCATGCTCAGACAAGGCTCGTGTCTGGGTCCACCCAACCCAGGCCGACCCATGATGTGAGGAGGAAAGGGGCATGCAGGGGGACTCCGTGTCCACAGCTGAAAACACCTCGGTCCCGGGTCCCTCCTTAGAAAGCATTTTGAAAGGGGAAGCGGGCAAAGGAAGACGTGAGAGATGACACACCTTGGCAGGTTAGCATGCCACCACGCCAAGGGGTCCCTGGGGTGGACTGCGGGGCCAATCCTACTTTCAAATCCCACAGGGATAGTAGTAAGGATGAAATCTATACTCCTGTGATCAGAAGCGGATCTCAGAACCTCGGGCAATCTTTCTGGGCCTGCGCAGGCTGAGAGATCCCAGCGATGCATTTTAACCCACTCCATAAAGACCTGAGCACAAGGAAAACAAAAAAAGTTCTTTAAACACTTTGCACAAGTAGCACGTCACTCCTTGCAGAAAGGCACGCTGACAGCCTCCTCCCTGCCCATCCGGCCAGGCTCTGGTCCAGAAGAAGAGTCAGGGATGCGAGGCATTCTAGTATGTCAGGCAGAAGGGCACCGGGTGAGCTCAAAGCTCCATTCTTCTGCTCCTCCTCATAAAGCGAGAGGCCCCGCATCTCGGCACAGACTCCAGAGCTGGTCCAGAGCCTCCTCCACGATGCTGCTGGTCTTGCTCACTGCGGCCCTGCTGGCCCTGAGCTCTGCTCAGCGATATGGTCAAGGTAGGGCACAGGGCTGGGGCTGGGACTAGCCTGTGGGGAAGGAGCTCATGGGAGATGAGCAGGAGAAAGCGCAGCCCAGGCTGGTAAGCTTACAGGGCCATGGTGGGGACTTGCTGTGCAAACACAGGATTCAGGAGACCACTCCAGGGCCCAGCTCTGAGACCCCTTCCTGGAAGATTCAGGTCATCCAGTGAAGAGAGCCAGGAGCACGGTCCTCACCAGAGACCCCCGCAACACGGACCCCCACAACACGGACCCCCGCAACACGGACCCCCGCAACATGGTCCTCACCAGAGACCCCCGCAACACGGACCCCCGCAACACGGACCCCCGCAACACGGACCCCCACAACACGGACCCCCACAACACGGACCCCCGCAACACGGACCCCCGCAACACGGACCCCCACAACACGGACCCCCACAACACGGACCCCTGCAACACGGACCCCCGCAACACAGACCCCCGCAACACGGACCCCCGCAACACGGACCCCCGCAACACGGACCCCCGCAACACAGACCCCCGCAACACGGTCCTCACCAGAGACCCCCGCAACACGGACCCCCGCAACACGGACCCCCGCAACACAGACCCCCACAACACGGACCCCCGCAACACGGACCCCCGCAACACGGACCCCCTCAACACGGACCCCCACAACATGGTCCTCACCAGAGACCCCCGCAACATGGACCCCAACAAGGACCGCAACAACAGAGACCCCCACAACAGGGACCTCCCCAGCAGGGACCTCCCCAGCAGGGACCCCCACAGCAGAGACCCCCACAGCAGGGACCCCCACAGCAGAGACCCCCACAACAGGGACCCCCACAGCAGGGACCCCCCCCAGCAGGGAGGCCCACAGCAGGGACCTCCCCAGCAGGGACCCCCCCAGCAGGGACCCCCCCAGCAGGGACCTCCCCAGCAGGGACCTCCCCAGCAGGGACCTCCCCAGCAGGGACCCCCACAGCAGGGACCCCCCCAGCAGGGACCTCCCCAGCAGGGAGGCCCCCAGCAGAGAGGCCCCCAGCAGGGACCCCCCCAGCAGGGACCTCCCCAGCAGGGAGGCCCACAGCAGGGAGGCCCCCAGCAGGGACCTCCCCAGCAGGGAGGCCCCCAGCAGGGAGGCCCCCAGCAGGGAGGCCCCCAGCAGGGAGGCCCCCAGCAGGGAGGCCCACAGCAGGGACCCCCCCCAGCAGGGACCTCCCCAGCAGGGAGGACCCCAGCAGGGACCCCCCCAGCAGGGACCCCCACAGCAGGGACCCCCACAGCAGGGACCCCCCCAGCAGGGACCTCCCCAGCAGGGAGGCCCCCAGCAGGGAGGCCCCCAGCAGGGACCCCCCCAGCAGGGAGGCCCCCAGCAGGGAGGCCCCCAGCAGGGAGGCCCCCAGCAGGGAGGCCCACAGCAGGGACCCCCCCAGCAGGGACCTCCCCAGCAGGGAGGCCCCCAGCAGGGAGGCCCCCAGCAGGGAGGCCCCCAGCAGGGAGGCCCCCAGCAGGGACCCCCACAGCAGGGACCCCCCCAGCAGGGACCTCCCCAGCAGGGAGGCCCCCAGCAGAGAGGCCCCCAGCAGGGACCCCCCCCAGCAGGGAGGCCCCCAGCAGGGAGGCCCCCAGCAGGGAGGCCCACAGCAGGGACCCCCCCCAGCAGGGACCTCCCCAGCAGGGAGGCCCCCAGCAGGGAGGCCCCAGCAGGGAGGCCCCCAGCAGGGACCCCCCCAGCAGGGAGGCCCCCAGCAGGGACCCCCACAGCAGGGACCTCCCCAGCAGGGACCCCCCCAGCAGGGACCTCCCCAGCAGGGAGGCCCCCAGCAGGGACCCCCACAGCAGGGACCTCCCCAGCAGGGAGGCCCCCAGCAGGGACCCCCCCCAGCAGGGACCTCCCCAGCAGGGAGGCCCCCAGCAGGGACCCCCACAGCAGGGACCCCCCCCAGCAGGGACCCCCCCAGCAGGGACCTCCCCAGCAGGGAGGCCCCCAGCAGGGACCTCCCCAGCAGGGAGGCCCCCAGCAGTGATGCCCCAAGGCCAACCTTCAAAGGAACCCACAAGTCCATATCAGGTACGATTTAAATGTTTTTCTCCTTGAAAGTCTCTAAGGTGTACAATTCTCCAAAGTGTCCGAATGAATCAAGTTAAAGTATGTTTCACTTATGTAAAATTGCTACTGTTAAGTTACTTGGGCCATTTCAACAAACAATCACAAAGTACCCCAAGGGAGCTGTGATTGGTAGAACACTGCCCGTTCCCTCTTCCCCAGGATGACACTCCCTCCTGGCTGGTGCAGCCCATGGCACTAAGCTGCATCCTCCTCGGAGGGCCTGGGGACCAGGCATTCGACCTCCTAATCCCCCCTCTCCCCCACCTGGCTCCCTGTCTGGGAAGGACAGGGGAGGGAAGGGAGGAGGGGACGGGGGCACCAAGCTCTCCTGCCTCTCCCAGTGAGAACCCAGTAGGCAGGAAAGGCCTCTGCCTGCCCAGCCCTCCATAACCTGCCCTCTTCTTTCCTTTCAGAAAGGGAGCCAGAAGATGCAGCCCTCCAACCCCACCCTACCCCATCAGCATGGTCTGAGGCCCCCACCAATAAAACAATGAATATGTGATTTCTGCTCTTGCGTCTCTTTCTGAATTGGGTGAGGCTGACACTTGCTGGCTCGGGACACAGTCTCACAACACCTGGGAGCCCTTAGAATGGGAGCAGCCCCCAGCCACCTACCAGATCAAAGAGGTCCACTGTGCAGGCTAACATAGACACAAGTCATAAAGGTCCGATGCCCTCATACATGCACAGAAGCAAGGAATAGAGAGAAGCACCTTTATATTCTTACAAATGTACAGAAGCAAAGACTATAGAAAGAGAGGACATTTTAGAAACAGAGGAACCCCTGACATACCCCAGTTTTCGGGACCCTGATTTCTGAGGGGCGACTGTGCTTCAAGGCCTCTTCTTCACAGAAACACTATGCAACTTGCCTCCTACTGTACATTTCAAAAACTCTCTCCAGCTGGGCACCTGGGGCTCATGCCTGTAATCCTAGCAACTCAGGAGGCTGAGATCTGAGGATCATAGTTCAAAGCCAGCCTGGGCAGAAAAGTCCCTGAGACTTTATCTCCAATAAGCACAAAAAAACTGGTGGCACTGTGGCTCAAGTGGGACAGCATCAGCCTTGAGCTGAAGAGCATAGGGACAGCACCCAGACCCAGAGAGTTCAAGCCCCACGACCAACAAAAAAAAAAGCTCTCTCCACTGCTATTATGCTATTATGCAACCAATGATTTTTTGAATTAATTCTGGTGTATTTCAGGAAATGATAATAAATCACAATAATAAAACTATATGCAGTAATGAATACTCAACATTGTACTATAAATGGGGAAATGGGGAAATCCTGTCTAAACCAAGAGAAAGCTGTCCCCTCACTTCACGCTTATGCGATAATTGGGTTAAAATTCTCAGCCACAACTGTCAGCAAGTGAATGACAAAGAGAGAGAATAAGAAAAAACCAAACTCAAGGAAACATTTAAATTCTCTCCATTTGCAGATGATATAACCCTGTGTAAAAGACCCTAGATACTCTACCTGAAAACATTATATCTGAATATTCTTAGCAACATGTTTATGATCATAAAATCATCATTCAAAAGTCAGTAGGTTTTCTAAACAAAAGCGAGTGTGCTGCGAAGCAAGTCAGCACTGAACCTTAGCTCTCAGGAGCCTAAATGAGTGGTTAGGAGGTGAGTAGCCGTGCATCACCTGTCATCCCAGCTACTCAGGAGGCTGAGATCTAAGGATTGAGGTTCAAAGCCAGATGGGCAGGCAAGTCCATGAGACTCCTATCTCCAATGAACCACCAAAAAGCTGGAAGTGGATGTGTGTCTCAAGGGGCAGAGCACCAGCCCCAGGGAACATAAAGCTGGTACGATTTAGGGCGGTGAAGGTTCCCCATCCTTAGGCCTGGGCCTGAGCCCGCACCGCAGCTGCTGCAGCCCCAACAGAAAGACCCGCCTCAGCTTGCTGTTTCCCAGAACCAGGATGCACGAGTGGCCCGAAGGAAAAACCGTCCCAACAGCCGGGAAAAACAGGATGTGCAGGCGTGTGTTCAGGTATGTAGAGCTCCAATGTTGTACCACGAGAGCCAGAAAGAAAATGGAGTATAGGAGCAAGAAGGCGACCACCATTTGCAGGGCTCGGACGTGGGCCGCTGTGCCAGCGTCCCTGGGTCCTGGGCCATGATGCTGCATCCTCTTGTGGTGTTTCCACAGGGAGAAGATGAGCAGGAGAAACACCGCCAGGGACACGGTATAGGGCACAGAAAGGCACACGGTGAAAAGGACAGAAACCCCGGCAAGTTTAGTTGTCCTGTGCCCATAAGACACATTCCTCTCCGACCCATTAGGAAATGGCTTTAACAGCATCACATCCATGCACAAGAGGACCACGATGAAAAGCAATGTCATGGAAACTACTCTCTTCACTCTCCCCTTTAGGTAAAGAAAAAGTGAGTTGGAAAAATTGGCTATCTTCAGAAAATAATATATGCTGAGGATTGTAGCAAGCCAGGTGCTGAAATGGTTGGCTACTACCCAGAAAGCGAAAATCATCCTGCTCTTATTTCCAGTGGCAGCACTAGCTGGGTACAGCACAAACGTAAATATGCTCAGAACTACTGACCAGAGCAGCCCGATTCTGGAGATGGCCAAGGCGGTGAGGATTCGGTCCACCAAAGACAGCTTTCCCCTCCTGAGCCAGTCCACACAGTTCACCAGGGCTATGAACCCATTTCCCAGATTCCCAATGATGAGTTCCAAAATGAAAATGACCATAAATGTGCTCTGAACCACAGCCATCGTCTGCGAGAAAATGTCCCAATCTTTAATGTCACTGGCTAAAACATTTGCTTAAATGTTCCCTCTGCCTCTTGAACGTTTATAAAAATCCTCTGTGGTAAGACTTCTGTACACAAAAGCCAGCAAATAGCAAGGCTTGCCAATGGCTGTGTTCATAGCTTTCTTCCTGCTACTTTGTTTATCCACCCAGATAAATTGAGCTTCAAAGCCATGCTCCTCACAGGAGCAGAAGCCTAGAACGCCCTCCAGCCGATGATGACAGGAATGCTGGCATGCAAATAAATACATGTTGTTTGCATTCTTATGTTGATTTTTCCCTCCTTGATCTGCTTTTTAGAATCTGGCTGCTTGAGTTCTGGACAATGAACATTTCAAAATTCTGGGGGGGGGGGGGGTGGTGAGGGTCTGAACTGGTCTGTGGGACTCATGAGCTCGGAGGTTTCACAGACATTTGAGGCCTGTGCTTCCCACAATCCTTCCTAAAACCGCCCAGATTAATCTACTAATGTGATGGAGGGTCTTATTCTTCAGAAAAAAAATGCAGATCCTGAAGCCCAGCTATGGTAGAGATGGGCATGAGTCACTTTACCCTCAACCCAAGAATGGGGCTTGAATCTGCCACCATGACCAATGGAGTCCAGGAGGGGAAGTGTACTTCTGCTCAAACCCAGCCAAAGAGAAAAGACGTAGACAACAGACAAGCAGATGGATGGAGAGACAGAAATATGGATGGGTGGATGGATGGATGGATAGGTGGATGAATGGATGGATGATGGGTAAATGGATGATGAGCAGATGATGGATGGATGATAGGTGGGTGGGTGGATGGATGATGGACAGATGGATGGATGGATGGGTGGATGGATGGATGGATGGGTGGATGAATGGATGGATGATGGGTAAATGGATGATGAGCAGATGATGGATGGATGATAGGTGGGTGGGTGGATGGATGATGGACAGATAGATGAGTAGATGATGAGCTGATGGATTACTGTTGTGTTGCATTTTCCTGGACTGTCTCCACCCACTGACAGATTCCCCAGTGCACAAAAGGGAGCTTATTAGCATCCCCTAGAGTGAATATAGCCTTCTTGTTTAAAATTTTCTGGGCACAATACCTGGCAAAACTCTAAATTACAATGGACCCCAAGAGTCTTAAGGATGGGTTCCAATGTGTATTTTTATTGTTATTCCCCCAAAGGACTAAAAATAAATTCCATCCATTCACCCATCCCTTCCAGAGGCTGCACCTGTAATGGTTGGTGTCTGAGGGAAAGCTGGACAGACTCTCGTCTGCTACCATGCAAATGAACACATATTCGCTTTCATCCTTTTGCTATTTAGTTTGTCATATCTAATCTGCATGATTTTAATCTATCAAATTCAAATGCCAGCCTGTAGGTTGTACGACTTAATACACAGGCTGTGCATAAATGTCCAACTGGACCTTGGTTATCTATGGTTGACCTCACTGCCTTGTTACTGCTTACGGTATGGAATGAGTGGCCCGGCGTTTTCCAAATGTTTCTTCTCGGAATATTTTCCACAAAGCTGACCCTACCTAAAATAGGTGCAGGTCACGAATGCTTACACATAGCATTATTGTGTGAAGCCACAAATGCAGGCACTCATATAACAACATTGGCATGATCAGCCCACAAACACAGGCCATTATTCCTGCTAGTGTTCTGTATGGACTGGGAATTCTTCATGATGAAGCAAGCAGTACCCACAGAAATGCTGGATTAAAGCGTCCTTGTGGTTCTGAGGAAAGCCTCACAAAACTGGTCTGGTAGCTCTTGTGTTTGAAACAATAGAATTTGTACATTTAAACTCTATACATTATTTCTTTTGTTTTGTTTTGTTTTTTGTCAGTTGTGGGGCTTGAACTCTGGACCTGTATGCTGTCCCTGAGCTCTTTATCCCAAGGCTAGCGCTCTACCACCTGAGCTACAACAACACTTCTGGTTTTCTGGTGGTTAATTGGCGATCAGAGTCTCATGGACTTTCCTGTCCAGGCTGGCTTTGAACAGCGATCCTCAGATCTCAGCCTCCTGGGTAGCTAGGATTACAGGCGTGAGCTACCAGCACCTGGCTTATTCATCATTTCTTATATGATACTTAGATTTGAGATTGCTTGAGGTGAACGTAGCATTTCATTCCATGCATGCTTCCTTTGTTATTATTATTCTAAAATCATATAGAAGTTCATGACCGCCAT